ATATTATAAATTATTAATTAGTCCAATCATGTTTTTTTTTATTTCTTAAAGATGGTGGAGTTTTTTACTAAATGTTTGCTCCCCCCCCCAATAATTTATCGATGTATAGTATACTACAGAAAACATTGGCTTTATGAATCTGCTCGTGCTCCCTCGTCTGATAATCCCTCTAATATTTGGAAAGAAGGATATGGAAATAACGAACAGTATTCAGTCTCATAGTCCATAAAACTATAAAAATTAGGAGCATAGCAAACACGGACCTCCGAAACATCAGAGGTGGGATCAGGTGCCATGAATAAGGTATGGTTCCATTGGAATTTTGCTCTGTGTTTTTCTAAAAATAAAATAGAAATTGGTGTAAAAGTCGAAAAATTCATGCTTTCTGAAATTCAATGCAGAAAAATCATACATGTACAAATCCTTTTTTTGTATTTTTAAATAATATTTCTACACATCCGAAGCAGTCCCCTTAATGATTCAAACAAAGTCGGTTGTGTGTAATTTCCTTTACTGTATTTGTCAGTGTAGTACTAAACTCAATTTGTAGTATTGAACTTAAAATATATCACACATTTACTTCAAAAATATCAAATTATATGCATTGCTTCTTTATTTTCATTATCTTGTTATTTTTCAGATATAACATTACCTACATTGTAGCAAAAGAAATGGCCACTGCCACAAGCCAGGCACAGGAACTCATAACCTGTGACCTTTGTGCCACACCTGTCCAGCAATTCTGTAACAGCTGCCAAGTCGGTCTGTGTGAAGACTGTATCAACAAACACGTCAAGAGCCTCAAGTCCATGAAGCATGACATTGTTCCTTTCACAAAGCGTACAGTACAGCTTGTGTTCCCTCAGTGTACATCTCATTCCCACCAGAGATGTGAGGCTTACTGTCAACAGTGTGATGTACCGGTCTGCATCAAATGTCTCACAGGTCAACATAAAGGTCATGTTTTCGAGGACATGGATAAAGTCATAGCTGTGAAGAGAGAAAAAATTAAACAAGAAACTGGAGAAATTGAGGGCCTTATCCTGAAGACCACAACACAGGATTCAGACACTGAAAACAAAATTTCCAAATCCATCACCCATTTTACAGATTTACAGAGACAGACCAATGATCACAGAAAACAATGGCACCTAGAGGTGGACAACATCTTTAACAAAATGGAATCCCTAATCCAGTCATTCAAAGATCAGCATATGACAACTCTAAAATCATACCAGTCTAAACTCAGAAGTCAGAACTCTAGTATGTACCAAACTGTTGAAGAAAACAAAAAAATCCTGAAGTCTAACCAAGTGTCTGATGTCAACAACTACCAATCTAAACTGAAGGAATACAGAAAAATTCCACAAATACCTGATTTACCATTGCCCTCTCTTCAAACAAACACAGTTCAAGGGAGAGAACTCAGCATATTATTAAGAGGATACATGGCTACACTGACACAAACATCACTATCCAGTCTGACAGATGAAGTCTCCTTTTTATCTGTTAAGGAATTATTAGAAGAAGCCAAAGTGATTGCTAACATTCCAACAAATGTTAAAAAGTTAGTTAAAGTGGCCTGTGTAGGATTAGATAAAGCTTGGGTTAGTGGTAAAGACAAAATGATAACCTGTGTGGACATACATGGAGCTGTACATGACACTGTCATCAGTACATGTAAGAACTACCCTAATGACATTACAGTGACCAGACAGGGAGAAATGATATACAGTGATTCTGCAAATAGAACTGTGAACATTGTCAGAGATGGAAAGACAGATACACTGATCACCACACCAAGGGGCTGGCATCCAGTGGGACTGTGTTGTTCCAGGTCAGGGGTCATCCTAGTTAGTATGTGCACTACTGATAGAATTCATCATAAAATAGTCTGTTATCAGGGACAGAGAGTGACACAGGAAATAGATAAAGATGAACATGGAGTTCCAATCTATCAAGGAGGAAAATATACAGTGTATGTGGTGGAGAACAAAAATGGAGACATAGTGGCCTCTGATCTTAATGCTAGAGCAGTGGTAGTGGTGGACAGGACAGGAAAAGTCAGATTCAGATACAACAAACCTCCATGGGGAAATAAATCATTTGGTCCTACACAAATAAAGACAGACTCCCTGGGTCACATCATTGTGGCTGATGATATCAATGACTGTCTACACATCCTAGATCAGAATGGACAGTTCCTGAGATGTGTGGATAATTGTGGACTAGAGCTTCCTACAGTACTGAGTGTGGACAGTGAGGGGAGGTTGTGGGTACGGTTGTATAAATCAGGGGAATTGAAAGTCATACAATACCTGAAATAAACAGTAAACATTCACATGTTTGGAATTGTTTATGGCATACATTTATCAAACAAATTAAAATTACAATTTTCAAATAATTTGTATCTTTTGTATCAACTCAGGATTTTTAAAGTTATAAAAGTATTAAAATACCTGTACAACAATTTTATAGTTATTTTTATTTTTGTCATAAAATTTACACATGTACTTGAATAAAGAAGGAATCAAATACATGTATAATCATTGAAGTAAGGAGATTAAATCTTGCAATCAAATGACTTCAGAATTTTTGTAAAATTTACTTCATTAAAAAGAAAAACAAGGTCAATCAGCGACAGAGCTCATCTGCACAAAAAGGAACAAATCAGTTCGGTGTTGAAAAGTGTACAGAGAAGAGGGGATGGGAGGCTTGAATTTTTAACTACCAGGATGCTTTCATATCAGTATAACTAATGGCTTTGTTATTTAGCAGAATTTTAAGATTTTTTTCATATATATATTCCTATTAATGAAATACAATCTCCCATGAATATTTTTTTTACAGTATATTCCTTTATCTTTGATCCCCCATAGTGGCCACATCATAGTAACCCCCAGGAGGACATGATTTGCACAAACTTAGACTTTAATCTACACAACCTTAGGATGCTTCATTTTTCTAAAACTACTAGTGCTTTTGCTTATCCTGAGAAAAAAGTATTTTTGCCTATACATGTATTTCATTACATGTATGTAATACTTTGATCCCCAATGTGACCCCATCCTACCCCTGGGGATCATTGTGCATTAACTGAGATAAGATGAAGAAGCCAACAGTTTATTGACATCATTCTATAATGCAAGTTAATATATGTGACATTCTAAATCAAATTAGTCAGTCCTTTCACAATCAAAACATACAAATATTGTAACAGATCAATCAAATGTGATTCTGTATATGAAATATCAATCTGTATTTATCAAAAAAGTATATTTCAAATTTTAACAGTTAGGTCTTAAACAGAAAAAATGTCATTATAACACAGATAGAAAGAGATACTTTTTAGCGTGCATGAATCATAGTTCGCTATTTACTTTTAATACTCATGTTTACTGATCAATGAACCTGTTTTTTCGACACATTTCCAGTCCTTTTATTATACATGAAACGTTTAATTCCAAAACTATCTATTGTTTGCCCAATACTGAATATTCCAGCTGAGTTACTTCAGAAATTTTGAATTTGAACATTCTAAATATCCTATACTGCTCTTTTATTCCGAAAATTTCTTAAAATCAAATCATAGGATTTGTTTTTTTAAATGATAGATAAATGTTTGTATTCCAGGTTCTTTGTTAAAGGTTTAGAGAACAAAACTCTTATGTTTATAGCATGTATGCTATGGTTTCTTCAAAAAGGAACATAACCTTCTTTTCCTTATAAAGGATTGAAAACCCTATAGAATGAAATGTAGAGAACAGCCTTCTCTTGTCACCAATTAGTAAAAATACTCAGCTTGTACTGTTTATAATGGATACTAGATAAAATAAAGCAGAGATGTTTACCTATTTAAAAAAATTATAGATAGTCTTGTTACCAGATACTTAGCAAAGTGTTTATTCCATCAACTTCACTGTTTGGATGAAATTATACTTCAACTTTTTAAATTTTAAATCCGAGAATAAAGTACATGTACATTCGTCCATCCTCAGGAAAGAAAAACATCTATTTTTTTTTTATGATGCAACATGAAAAACCACTGAAATCAATTCAAGAATTTACAGTTTCTCTATGGGGTAGAATTGTGTACTTTTAAAATAATTAATTTGTTACATGTGCGTTTCTTTCCTGGCATCACACATACAAATATAACACAGTGATCTATACATATTATCACAAAGCAATGCATATTCTGCCACAATAAGAAAGTCTTTCAGTTCCTTTAGAAAGTTTTATTTGACAGATAGATAACCCCTGTATCACATGTGTGATGTGTGTGTTGTGGTAAAAAGCTACAATAGAATAAAAACCATAGTAAGTAATGACAGGTACTGCTTTCCATACAAAAATTTCTCAAAACAGGATTCATGTAATATAAACAAATTACACAGCTAAGTATAATCTCTTAGACATCATTAACTAACTGTAACTTTATCATTAATATCAAATTTCTTTCATAAAATATATTTTTAAGACAAATACAGACTTGTAAACTATCGACTTTAAACGATGACATTAACAGCGCACCATACCCTAAGCACATGGCAAAATATTATTTGTAAATTATGCAGAACTGCGTGAATATGCATAGTTGACATTAAACAAACAAGTGTAGGATGATATTATCTAAAGAATAAACAAAGTATCAAGACTTTAAACTACTTACACCGTGGATTACAGGCGTTTGACAGGTGGAAAATTAACTTGCCGAGAAGTATGGCGGCAAAAACACATCAGATTAACTCGTACTTAAAACATTCGTATTGACCTAAGTCTAACTGACATAGTCGTACAACAAAAATTCTTATGACTAAAAAATAATATAAACAATAGACAGAACACTCCCCGTCTGAAATCTCAAGATTTCACTATCAAAATTACAAACTAATAAAAGAGTATGACAAAATCATAGACCTCTCAATAACAATGACAAATCAAAGGTTACTCAAAAACAGTCTCAAATAACCCGGTAGTCTGTCAACACATTCTCAGAACTACACAACTTCACTTTCAATGAGAAGTATCATGTCAACAACTGGTCTGATATACACTGTAGGCTTTCCATTCACAATGGTACGAATTTCAGCTTTTCGCACATGGTCATCAGAACTCTTGAAGGCTTTCAAGACTAAACCAATAGGCCAGCAGTTTTGTTCAACGCTCTTGTCCTTTATAAGCACTACGTCTCCTTCTGCTATGTCACGCTGATTCTTGGTCCACTTCCTACGACTCTGAAGTAGTGGTAAATACTCCTTCTTCCATCGTGACCAGAATACACTAGCTAAAGCTTGAACGCGTCTCCATTCAGCCTTGAACATGTCTCGGTCACCGAATTCTCCAAGTGAATTGGCCTTGAACTCATACTCTGTCTTCTGTGTCAACAGCATTGCTGGAGTCAGTATCAATGGGGAATCTGGATCAGTGGATATAGGAACAAGAGGCCTTGAATTAATGATCGCACAGACCTCTGCCATAAATGTGTTCAGCACATCATGGGTCAAGGTTTTTCCACTGGCATCAATCAGCATTGAGTTGAGGATTTTACGGGTGACGCCGATCATTCTTTCCCAAGCCCCACCCATGTGGGAGGCATGGGGCGGATTGAAGATCCATACAGTACCAGAATTGTGTAGATACTTCTTCAGCGGTTCATCATTGACATACTGTAGATCACAAATTTTTCGCGGCATTGACTCTTGATAAGCGAGCGAATTGTGTTTAATGCTCTATATAATCTTAAGGAATACTATTAAACGCGAGCATTAAATATTCGCGAGCACACTGTCTCGCGTAATAACGCGAAAATAAAGTTCTCGCGAATAAAAAGTGATTTACAGTATATGGCATCAATGCGCAAGTCGTCTACGGCCCCCACAAAGTTAGTGCCTTGGTCAGAACGGAAAGTCTTTACCTGACCCCTTATGGCGGTGAATCTTCTGACAGCATTGATAAATGCAGATGAACTCATTTCTTCTACTAGTTCAATATGAACTGCCCTTGTGGTTAAGCAGGTGAACAATATTCCCCAGCGCTTGGAGTTGGCACTACCTCCTCGGGTCTTACGTGAGACAATAGCCCAAGGTCCAAATGCATCTACACCTACATTTGTGAAAGGTGGCCCTGGGTCGAGGCGGTCTGCAGGTAGGTCTGCCATGATCTGATACTGTGTCTTCCCTCTGAGTTTTCTGCATGTGATACATTTATGGATAATCGAGGAGACAAGTCGTTTGGCGCCTGTTATCCAAAGTCCAGCTGCCCTGATAGCTCCTTCCGTGAAATGACGCCCTTGGTGCTTGACATTTTCATGATAGTGTCGAACCAATAGGGTTGCTATATGATGGCGTCCAGGAATAATCAATGGTCTCTTCTCTTGCAAGGTCAATTTTGAGTTGACTATCCGACCTCCTACGCGTAGAAGTCCCTGATCATCTAAGAATGGATTAAGGTTGGCTATTGGGCTTCGTCTTGGTAGAGGCTCATCTTGTCGTATACACTCAATCTCCTCACAGTACATCTCAGACTGCACCATTCGAATCACAAAATGCTCTGTGTCCTGGTACCTTTCGGTCACAGTGTTAAGATCAATGTCTTTGCCTTTAAACTTGAAAAGCATGTATCTGAGAAAGTTCATGGCTACCACAAGTCTTCTCCAATCAGAGAATCGCTGGAATCGTTGAGTCATTGGAGTGCAAGGTTGTTCACCATCATTGTCTGCGGTGCAGGTTTTCATGGATGAAACTATAGGGCGAATCTCTTTATCTTCATCTGGCTCAATGAGCGGATGTCCATTCTCATTCTGTTCTTCACGTTTAATGACATGAAGTTGTTTTGGTCCTTGCAACCAAGCGCTATCTTGAAGCTCATGTGCAGGTAGACATCTCGTTGCTAGATCTGCAGGGTTACGATCAGTAGGCACGTAGTTCCACTGGCTTGGAGATGTAAACTTCCTTATGCGATCTACTCTGTTGCCAACATAGATGTAAAATCTCCTAGACTCATTACAGATGTAGCCGAGGACTACTTTGCTATCAGTATAATACTTCACAGAGTCTATTTGTATCTCAAGGTGATTCAGAACACACTGTGCAATCTCAACTGCTAACACCGATGCACACAATTCCAGTCGTGGGATAGTGTGTCCACTCATGGGTGCAACTTTGGCCTTGCCCAACACAAATCCAACTTTGCACTGTCCGTCACTATCTGTGGTGCGCAAATAAATGACAGCTGCTATGGCCTTTTCAGATGCGTCGCTGTACACATGAAGCTCTTTTCTCATAACTTTGCTGAGATTGGTCACATATGTCCGTTGGATATGTAGGTCCTCAAGTGCATCTAAAGAATCCTTCCAGGAATTCCAAAGAGATGTTAGTTCCTCAGAGAGAGGTTCATCCCAGTCTTGAGTTTGAGCTATAAGTTTCCTGAGTAAGAGTTTACCATAAATAGTCACTGGTGCTAAGAAGCCTAGAGGGTCATAAATCCCATTGACGGTTGAAAGTAAACCTCTTCGTGTGGCAGGTTTGTGGTCCTTTGACAGTTGAAAGACAAAGGTGTCACTGTTGACATCCCAGCTCAAACCGAGGCTTCGCTGCAGAGGCATATCTTCCGCTTGCAGATCCAAGTCCTTCAGATTTGTTGCTAGGTCCTCAGCTGCAAAGGCTGACATAACTTCTGGACTGTTGGAGGCAAATTTATGGAGCCGGAGATTACCAAATTCCTTCAAGGCACTCTGAGTATCCTTGAGAATGCGAACAGCTTCTGCACTGGTTGGACAGGAAGTCAACCCATCATCAACGTAAAAGTCATTTTTTACAAAGTTGGTGACATGATCTCCATAGTTTGGTTCTGCTGCTTCAGCTGCCTTTCTGAGTCCTAGTGTTGCGACGGCAGGTGAGGGTCGGTTACCAAAGACGTGTACCCTCATCCTATACTCAATGATTTCTTTGTCAAGGTCATTATCCTTGTGCCACAAAAACCTGAGGAAGTTACGATGGTCTTCCCTTACTAAGAAACAGTGAAACATGTGTTGCACATCGGCAGTCACAGCAACCATTTCCCTGCGAAATCTTAGAAGAATGCCAAGTAAGCTGTTTGATAAATCTGGTCCGGAGAGAAGTACTTCATTTAAGGAGACTCCTTTAAATTTCGCTGATGAATCGAACACACCCCTGATTTGATCGGGTTTTTTGGGATGGTAAACACCAAATAGGGGTAGAAACCAACATTCTTCTCCATCAGGTAACTCTGGGGCAACTTCTGCATGATGATTGTCCAGAATCTTAGACATGAATGTAAGAAAGTGTTCTTTTTTCACAGGGTTCTTCTTTAGGCTTACATCAAGGAGTTTTGCACGTTGAACAGCTTGTTCCTTGTTGTTTGGTAATCGTTGTCGATTCTCCCGAAATGGCAGTGGGGCCACCCAACTTCCCGAAGAGTCTCTGATAAATTCGCTATCCATCTGTTGTAAGAACATTTTATCTTCTATTGACATGCCTTGTTCGTCATCATCCTTCGTCCTGATAAATAGCTGTGACTCATCAGACAAAGACTGACTCACTAGTTCTCGTACCTCAAACTTGTTGCTGCATGGCTTCATAGTCGAAGGCTGACCAGTTGGTAGAAGGTAAGTTTTCTTTACACTTAGATCATGTGAGGCATGCTGCATGTTGAGACAAGTTTCTCCAATAACAACCCAGCCAAGTTTGAGTTGTTGTGCGTACGGAGCTTTTGGTGGACCAAAGATTTGATGTAGAACATGATGGGCTTCGATTAGATCACGTCCAATCAGCAAAAGTATGTGACATTCTGCATCAAGTGGTTGAAGGTACCCAGCAATTTCTGTAAGATGTTCATGATGGAAAGTGACCTCAGGAGTGGGTATTTCATCGCGATTGTTTGGTATATGGTCGCACTCGATCAGGGTTGGTAGTTCAAAGTCTACATCACCTTCTATCGATTTCACAATGAACCCCTTTCCTCTTCTTCCAGAAGTGACAACTTTGCCCGAGCAGGTCGATATGGTATAGTTCTGTGGTTTATCTTTCACACCAAACAACTCAAAGAATTCTGGAGAAGCTAATGAGCGGTTGCTCTGATCATCAATCACTGCGTACATCTTTACTGACTTGAGTGGATTGTCACGATGAAACACATGAACGGGCAAGATCTTGGCACACGACTTTCCACTGTAAGGTTCTCTGCATATCTCTGTGCAGCTTGAGTTGACCTCTGACACACTGTTGGACACTTTACCTCTTGACTCCCCGCCGTTGTCCTTCAATGATGAAATAGGAATGCGGTTGGTTTCCTCCCCGCCATTCGCTTGACGAGTTGCATGAGAATCCATGGAAACCACTTTGTCATTTCTGGTAAGATGCAGGGCAGTTGTATGGTTCTTGCTCCCACATTCTTTGCAGTAGATAACAGCATTGCATTCGCGACTTTTGTGAGCGTTAGAAGCACAACATCTGAAGCATATGTTGTTTTCTTTCAAGAGTCTCTTCCTTTCCTCTATTGACTTGGACCGGAATCCTCTACAGTCATCTAGAGTATGTTTGGTCTTGTGGATGATACAACGTTCAAGTGGAGTAGTTACGTCAACACCTGTCTTGTTCACATTGACCTTGTTTCTTGCGTAACTAAGTAGTTTTGGAGCAGCAAATTTCTTGGTGCTGTTTGTGTCTGGCTCATAGTTGAATCCTGGGTCATTTTTCACCTTGCTTACTTCCTTTATGAATTCCACGAACACTTGAAATGGGGGAAATATAACACTGTGTTCCTTCTTATACTTTACAGCTCTATTGGTCCATTTCTCTTGTAAGCCGTATGGTAGTTTGGATATAATAGTCTTAATCCCTGATGATGAGTCAAGATATGCTAACAGAGCATTGTATTTGGGGTCTTCCTTTAAGAATTCCATCTCCATAAGAATGTCTGACAGTTCGTAGAGTTTTTGATAATCTTTGTTACTCAGCTTGGGAAAGTTTTCAAGTTTTGCTCTTATTGAAGCCTCAACATGTTCTGGAGCACCATAGCGTTCATCCAATCTTTCCCAAAGTCTTTTTAATCCTCTGGAGATGTTGTAGATGTTGGATGTTTTGATGCTGACAGCATGCTTTTTTGACTCGGGCCCCAAGTATTTGATGAGAAGATCCATCTGCTCTGAGTCCAAGATTTGTAGTTCACTTGTAACACTCAAAAAACTGTGTTTCCATGCACTATAGGATTCGGGCCTGTCGTTGAAATTTGTTAGTCGAGAGAAAAGAAGATCCTTTCTTAGTAGGAAACGAGTGACGTCGGTCACATGTGTCTCTTGCTGCGTCATGTAAGGTGACGGAAGGCATGAGGTAGGTGTGTATGCCTGTGCATACGGATTCAGTGTAGAAGGAACATGGTCTAATGTAGGTCCAAAAGAGACATGTCCAAGTGTAGGTTGACTGACATGAATATTTTGGCTGGTGCTTGAGGTGTGTTTCAGCTTTGGGTAGTTTAGGTTATCCGGTGAAGCTGGTCGACTGGACAACTGTGAAATATGGTTGATTGTTGATTCAAATGCCTGACACTCTGCTTCTGCCTCCGCTGCTTCCCTTTTGAGATTTATCATTTCCAATTCTGCTTCAAGTTCCATTTGCTGTTTACGTAATGTCATTTCTTTTGCTGCATACAACATCCTGGCTTTCGCTTTACCCAATTCAGCCCTTTTCTTAGCTAGAATGTCTGAATTTAGAACACTGGATGAAGAATGTACACTTAGATGCTCACTGTCTGTATTCTCCTCCTCATATCCTAGATAATCTGGAGAATCATCCCCCTGATCACTGTTGCTGGATATATGTTTCTTTTCAGTGTTCTTAGTGTCTGTAGTAGAATCTGGTAATGGCATATTCTTGGCCTTCTGAAGGTTGGAGGTAAAATCTGGTAGAGATGCTGACTTTTGCTGCTCAGTGTCCACAGAAGAGTCTGGTTTGGACGGTGTTTTGGCTTTCTGAGTTGAGTCTGGACTCGATGTTGTCCCTGCCTGTCCTGTTGCTGTAGACATGGTCTTTTTACTATTCTGCCACAATAAGAAAGTCTTTCAGTTCCTTTAGAAAGTTTTATTTGACAGATAGATAACCCCTGTATCACATGTGTGATGTGTGTGTTGGTAAAAAGCTACAATAGAATAAAAAACCAAAGTAAGTAATGACAGGTACTGCTTTCCATACAAAAATTTCTCAAAACAGGATTCATTTAATATAAACAAATTACACAGCTAAGTATAATCTCTTAGACATCATTAACTAACTGTAACTTTATCATTAATATCAAATTTCTTGCATAAAATACATTTTTAAGACAAATACAGACTAGTAAAATATCGACTTTAAACGATGACATTAACAGCGCACCATACCCTAAGCACATGGCAAAATATTATTTGTAAATTATGCAGAACTGCGTGAATATGCATAGTTGACATTAAACAAACAAGTGTAGGATGATATTATCTAAAGAATAAACAAAGTATCAAGACTTTAAACTACTTACACCGTGGATTACAGGCGTTTGACAGGTGGAAAATTAACTTGCCGAGAAGTATGGCGGCAAAAACACATCAGATTAACTCGTACTTAAAACATTCGTATTGACCTAAGTCTAACTGACATAGTCGTACAACAAAAATTCTTATGACTAAAAAATAATATAAACAATAGACAGAACAATGCACATTATAAATTCTCACTTGTCAAACATGGCTTAAAAACAATATGCTATGTTAACTATGATTAAAATAAAAATTAGATTAACAAAAAAAGATTATGTCAAATCTGTATGTCCAACAATATACAAACTTAATGCACAGAATCAATAATGCACAGATTCAGTCTTTGAAGTTTCTGTGGCAAGCACTTTATCTATTTTTATCCCCCCAAAACAAATTCCTGGGAGTCAGAACTGAGGGCACCAAAGTCTATAGAAATCATCTGTTCTTCAGAAAGTAAAAAAAGTACAGCGTGAAGTCAATAAATAGTATATTTTTGTACAATTGCTCACCAAGGAACCTAAGTCCCCCACTGATGTCAGAAATCAAATGATATTCCTCCCTCTATATGAAAGACACAGGTAGGGTCAGATAAAGCAGTGATGATCTGATAATGAACATCAAACACAAAACTGGGAGATCCAGGTGGGCGTGTCAAGCAGCTGATAAACATGTGGTGATTACATCACCTAGGGGCGGTAACTCCTGTTTTGTTATAATATTGTACATTAAGATAGAAGCTAGTGATACTCAGGCCAGGTAACTGTAGGTGTCCTTCTGTCCTTCCACTCGCTCCAAATATTCCTTCTCAATCAGTATGTCTATGCATTTCTGTCACTAAAAAAGATAAATTATGTTAATACTTAAAACGTTTGTATCTAGTGATTCTGGTCATTAAAATTGAAAGGAAATCTTAATGACAAAAATAGTAGTCTGGGTGAAAGAGCAAAAAGAGGTCTTAAACTTTAATTGTAGGTATTCTGAGTTGGAATTAAGATGCATAATTTGGGAGGGGGCTTAAATATCTTACATTTAGTGAAGAGCTTACCTTAATTATATGTACTCTTGAGTATGAATTGAGTTACATAATGAAGGAGGGGCTTAAATACCTTAAATATTGGGAACAGCTTACCTTAATTATCGGTACTCTGGGTTTGAATCGGGAGGAGAGCTGATTCAGGACCTCGGCTAGCAGCTGTTGATGCTTCAACACTTTCCTCATCTTCATTATACGTACTATAGCAGCATGTAACACAGTACACTTTCCTCATCTTCATTATACGTACTATAGCAGCATGTAATACAAATAAACAACACTTTAAATACAACATAATAAGTACTATAGCAGTCTATAACACAAACAAAAATGACACAGTTAAGGTAGTCCGATCCTCAGGTTTATAAAATTAGCAGTTAAGTGATTAAAAATACTCATAAAAGTATCTCTGAATCCATAAAGTTTTGTAAATTTATCCACGGTATTTCTTTAAAGTAAAAGATTAAAGTTAATCATATTATATAGGGAAAACGGTCAAATCTCTAATATTTTTGCAGAAAAAACAATTTGGAATATAGGCAATGGATTTTTTAATTGCAAATTAATCAACAAATATGTTTTAGGTTTTAAAAACGATAGGTGGGTTACATTGACCTGTATGAGAAGCTTTCTGTCTTCCTCTATATGTTTGTGTGTTGTCTCTTGTTCCATTTTCACTTCTGTTTTCAGAGGCACATTTATATTTACACGTAATTTTTTGCTGCAAAAGTAAATGGTATAATTACTTTTCACTCAATACTTTAAATAATAACACAAAGCCACAATCAATAAAAATCTGAAATACAGTAAAATTTGATCATAACGAAGTCACTGGGACCTGTGAAATTATTTCGCTACATCCGTTGATCATTATATCCGTACAAGGAATTTATTAAATTTGTACAGCTGGGGATCCAAGACAACTTCACTTTATCTGTGAATTCACAATATGCGTGTTCGTACAAAATGAGTTTTACTGTAATTAGTACATCATACATGAGAGTTCCAATAAACAAACTCTCTGCTAGAGACTTATAGATTAAGGATTTTAAATATGTCTACTGCTAGAGACCTTTCAACCAAGTGTGTAACATATTATCTGTATATTATCATCAACGTTCACATTATGGTTTGTCTTTTAAGATCGGAGAATTAACTCAAATCAATTTCCTGGTCACATTAAAAAATAATTTTAAGATGACATGCTCTTGATGACTAACAGTTACATTTTAATAGAACATACTTAAGTATGTTAAGATAAATCATGTATCTTTTAACTATATAAAACTGACAATTACGTATCTTACTTTTTATATCCAAAGAATAATTCCAGAGAAGATGAAGGACGGAGGTCATTCTCATCATCATCACAAACCAATAATTTAACTTTTAATAAAATCTGTAACACTTGTAGCAGTGTTTCCTGCAAACAAAGTCAACCAATTCTATACAACACAGTACAAGTGAACTTCAATAAGAAGTTCATTAAGAAATTAAATTACAATTCAAGGCTTAGGGATAACTTTACAAGGTAATACATTTGTCGGTCTGTATTTCTTTACATGGCTTGTATATCTCTTACGCTGTAACAAGCAGAGATGTGATTACTTATTCATGTACTTGTTCTATATTAGAGCTTATGAAAAATACCACAATTTTTAACCTGACATTCTTTTCACATACATATACATTCAATTTTTAAATTATCACCATTTCATCCATCACCATTTCCTAAATTTCATAATTCATGTATTTACAGGTATTGTAAATGTATATGTCTATCACAAATTAATAAAAAAAATATAGCTTCTTCCTTAGAAGGGAAACTCCATTTAACCCATACCATTGTGAACAATATTATATTGTTCATGCCTTTTAGGAGAAACTTCTTATGGAAATTCATAGATTTGTTGAGGGAAATCTGTGGCAATGTTTTATTTTCAAAATATTAAGGAACTGTTAAAGAAACCAAACTAAAATGTAAACATTATTACAACATCTCTCTAGGGGGAATGAAAGTGTCAAATTTTACACTCTTGTACCTCTTACAAATCATGATTTTGTTTATTACCATTGAATGTAGATTTTTTAAAAACATTATACCTCAGCATGAAAAGTGGGAGGGTATATGGTGATCAGGGTGCCCGTCCATCCTTCTGTCTTTCTATATGTACGTTCGTCCGTCTACTGCGCTTTGGGGTACTCATCTCTTATCTACAACTCCTCCCATACCATTTAATGAAATTTAATGAGGCTTACACAGAATGTTTATTACATAATGCCATTGTGCGCCTCTAATTTTACTTCTTGATCTGACGGTTCTTTCGGGTTTTCTAGAGCAAAACATGGACTTTCCCATTATAATCATATGGGAGACTGGCGATATCATTGAGTTTGCTCAGTACTGTACCTTTAGATTTACTAGTTACTCTGAGAATAAAACCTAAGGAAGATAACTCCTTCATGGTTATAGAAAACTGAGCAATGCAAAAACTAATTAAAGTAATGAACTATAATCTTGTTTTTTTTAACTCAGATTAATTTTTATTCCTTTGAAAACATTCCTTTTATTTATACTTCTCGGTTTCCTGTTTAGGATAATACAGCTATGTATTTGAATTTGTGAGTCTCTCGGAGTCGATTAATTAAATTTCAGTAGGTACTTAATTTCATTACCTGCCAATAAGGTGAACATGAAGGACATAAAGGTAGAACAATAATCCCAAGGTTGTTGTCATTAAAGGAACTAAACTGCCATAGCCAACTTGAGGGGGGGGGGTCTTTTGATAAATTTAATTAAATTCATATAATTGAGATTTAAGAAGTGGTCAGCGAAGGACATCAAGTTTCTGATCATCTACTTCTTATAAATAATTAAGTTACTTTTTTCTTGAAAAAATGTCTTTACGGACTTTAAAGTCTATGTGAAAGATTCATTCATAATTATTTTTTAAACATTCTTACTTTTAACAAATATAATTTAATTTTGTTTGTATTCTAACCTTTTCTGAAAGGAACAGAAATTATTCTGAGTAATCTGGTTTGGTATGGGGGCACACCCCCTTGACAACCAGCTGAATCATCTGTATCAATGCAATACCCTCATTTTCAGTCCTCGGGATTCATGAAAAATTTCATAAATATACCTTTAACTTCAAACAGTAGCTCGATCTAACCCCATGTCAACAAATATCATGGCCGTTAGGTCAGTTACCTCCTCTCGTTTCCCATCACTTCCATTACTATGGATATATTATTGAGCGGCAAATTTGAACTAATAAAAAGCAACACAATTTTACATCCACAGTTGTTTAATTATCTTAAAATTTAATCATAAGGAATGACTCTAACTCTTGGCCAAATTATTCGAGTATAGCCTAGTTTGGGCCATTTAACGCTTTTTTATAGTCAACTTCGCGGACATGTCCATTTGTTTCATATTTGGATATTTTACTTCAAAGGGACGTTAATGGTAATAAAACAAACAAGCTTTGAGATAAACCCGATGACTTTAATTTTTCAGTAGGCAATTTCCCTTACTTACATGTAAGCAGCAAAATATCCTCATAATCTGCATACATGTTTTTATCTCTGAGTTGATTCAGAAATGCAAGAACATGCTCTACCTATGTACAGTTTCCAAAACGAGGTCAATTTTTGACAAAAATGTAAAGAAAACAAGAATATCACCAGTTTCGTTTCAAGTCATCATTTTGTAAGTTCTTTGGTCGACACAATGACCTTGTCAACAA